ACAAAAGAACCGATCTTAAAAGTTGTATCAGACATAACTTTTAAGATCGGTCATAAAATAACCGAGCTTAAAAGTACTTTTAAGATCGGTTATTTTATAACCGATTTTAAAAGTATCGTCAGAAACCTTTTATCTTTCCCTCCATTCTCATTCTCTTTGATTTTTCCCTCCATTCTTTTTTTTACTCTCTCGTGCTCTCATCTAAAGTCTCCAACTTTTCATTTTCTTTACAAGACTACTATATCAATGTAACATTCTCATGCTCTTCTCATGTCTCTACTTACGTTGTTGGTTTATTCTGGCTACTTTCGTTGTTAGTTTATTCTAGTAAATTTTGAATTTAGGATTATGCAATGAGAACGGTCCGTTCTGAAAGGAGAACGACCCGTTCTACAAGGAGAATGACCCGTTCTGCAAGGAGAACGACCCGTTCTGGATAGGTTTTAACTCATGACAAACTATGTTGAAACGGCCCAAACGACAATTTTAGGCCTTTTTAACAACCTGAAACGGCCTGTTCTAGTTTTGGAATGGCCCATTCCAGTTTTATTTTTTTCACATCCAAGACTTTCCAGATCGGTTATAAAACAACCGATCAAAGTTAACTTTCAAAATCGGTTCTTTTAAAATCGATTAGAGAACTAATTTTAAAAGTTAAAAATAATCAATTTTAAAAGCTTTTTTTCCACTACTGAAGTAAAGGGTTTCCAATTTAAAAGAGGGAGAAGAAGATTTTGGCTTTAGAGAACTTCTATTTGTAATTTCTTAAAACATAAACTTGTGAGGTTCACATCTTAAGAAAAACCTTATATACCCTTCATTAGACTAAACCAACTTAACTCTGCCTCCATTATCACAATAATAACTTTAAGTCTTATTATCCCTTAACTCCAGAGTTCTCAAACAACAACGTTAATAACAATTTGCAATTATTCATATAATAAATTAAACGATCCAAACATGCAATGTTACATCCAGAGTTCTCAAACAACAACGTTAATAACAATTTGCAATTATTCATATAATAAATTAAACGATCCAAACATGCAATGTTACATTATTAGTGACATAAGATACTAACATAAAATTTTTGAAAAATTAGGGATTTAAAAAAAATAGTCTTAATTTTGAAGAATCAAAAACAAAATTACTTTAAATTTAAAAGATAAAAAATATATTTAAATTATAATTTTATAAAAAAAACACTTATCATAAACAAACAAACACATTCTTAACGTAACGTGTGTATAGGTCAACGAGTTATAAATAATAAAGTTTAAAATCATAATTTAAAACCAAACTACAATTGTATGGGAATAAATTTTTCTATTAGAAGACACGTTAATTTTTCTTAACTAAATGGTCATTTTAATATATGCATTTGAAAAAAGTTATCATATTAGTTTTGAAATTGAAAAAAATATTAAATAAGTCTCCTAAAATACACATAAGCAATCATATTAGTTTGAAATTTAAGTAAAACATTAAGTGATATTCTTTCCTCTCTTTATTATAAAGTACTTTTAACTAAATCTTATAAATCAATGCAAGTAATTATGTTAGTTAATTTTATTGGATTTATAAAATATAATCATGATTTAAATTTTTTTCTCTTTTTACTCATCATTAAATTCTCATGAAAGGTGAATATATTACTCCATATTAAGGCTTATGCACCAATCCAATAAAAATGATAAATAACATTTGGAGAATCTTAAAGGTGTAAGAGAAAAATACATGCTCTCACAATCTTTAATAGGGGTAAAAATGAAATATAAAATTAGTGTTTTAAAAATTGTAAAGTGTCTTGTAAAAAAAGACTAATTATAACGATCCATCAAGTCATTACACTTAATATAGTACAATTACTACACAATGAAAAACATTAAGTGTCCAAGTACTAAAGGGTTGTCATGCAACAATACGTGATCACACATACAATAAATATAAATATAAGATGTAGAAAATATAAAACAGTCCCCATAAATTTTAATTGAAAACGTAAGGCCCCTTAGGGAATTAAATATATACCATGTACATATATACAATATACATCTAAATACAAAATACTGGAAGCATAAAACCCTATTGTTGATCAAGCATTTCTATACAAATATATTGTATCAGAACAATACAAATCAAAATTATGTCATGTCCAACATGACCATCCACCAAAGCAAGCCATCTAACCTAATATTTCTCTACTCCCATACTAAGTATAATTGTTGTAGTCCAACAATAAAGAAAAGGAGGGGTAAGTTTATGAAAGAAATCACATATTAACTAGTAATGAGATCATAACTTAAGTAACACAAACAACTTAAATCAACAAGTTAACTCAAAACCTAACATCAACTTAAATCATAACTCACAACTTATAACTTTCTCAACTCAAACAACTTTATGCACAACTTAACAACTTTAAATAATTAATGCATCGTCATGTATATCAACTTACGAAGATCTCCAACAACTAAGGTAAGCAGTCTAAGTGGCTTAACCTACTAAACCATAATGTCTGACATGTTGCTTCTAGATAACTTTAGGCTACTCAATCATCTGTTTAACAACTTATTTTGATTTCTTGGGTTTTGTCACTTAAATTAGGAAAGTCTAGTGTTGTTGTCGAGGATAAAACAACTTGGTTGTGAGTTTGTCATGACCTTAGCATGCATAACTAAGTTTATATGGAATTAACTTGTTGGCTACCCTCTAAATACTACATACCTTTCTAGTTAAGGATTTTACCTTTCGACTTCATACTTTACTCAGTTGGTCACTTCTTAATTAGTATGGCTTGACCTGACCCAATACTATTCTACATAAAAACCAAGAGGACACAACTAAAAAAAATTCATTTAGGAGATAACTTACTTAATAAAGGATTTTTAACTTTGGACTTTCGAAGTACCACAACTTATATATTCACACAATGGGATATTTAAAATTTTAAAACAATTTTACTTTCCTTTGTTTTTTATGTATCTTAATTTAAACATGCATCACATGTCCATACAAGCTAACAACTTTAATCAACTTACTTCATACAACTTTAATCGTCATACAACTTACAACTCAACCAATTTTCATTCGTAGGCAACTTTTCACTTAAACAACTTAAACATCATTGTATACCATCATACATCCATACATAACGAACTAGAATCATACAACATCATATATCATGCAAGTAATCAACATACTTAACATCTTAACACTTAAACAACTAAATAACAAGTTTTTCTTCAACATAATCATGCCCTGCCCCATTCACCTAATGTCCGATGTCATCAAGGTAGATATCCTCTAGCTCGTTCATGCCCAATGTTAATGCACCTATGCCCAACGTAGATGAAGTAGAGAACTCTTGTGTCAATCACATATGGCGTAACTAAATTAACGTCTGACTTTGTCTTATTAAAGAACCTCTGCCTGACCCATGACTGGCGCCACAAAACATGCGCTTGATGTCATCCAGGCAAAGAGTCACTAACTTGATCATGTCTAATACCACCAATCTTCGACATCACCAAGTCAGAGAACCCCTCAAATAATCATGCCCAACACTTCTCATTCTACATTCGGTGTGCCCAAGTTAGAGGGATCTTAACTAACTCACGCTTGGAGCTGGTAGAGCTACCAATCACGCATTCAACATTAGTGAGATAGAGAGCCTCTAACTTGCATTATGCCCAACGCCACTCGACGTGATGGTGTTGTTCGCACTTAGCAAAATCATGATTTTCACTCAACCTATAAGAAAATTGATACCAAGGCATCGTACAATCCCAAATTCGACATATATTCAACATATGTGGTTATTTTCCATTAAGAGGAACCACATGCAACCATTCAAAAATCAAAATCACCAAATCTTTCCAAAGATACCTTCAAGAGCAACATTTTAAGCGAAATGTTATATTCTTATGATTAAATCAATTTAGCCATCAAATTGAATAACTATAGGCAAAATTCAGCAGCTATAGATCAACAACATCAATCGAAAAACTTCCCTTACTTCGAATCACTCAAAAAATAATAAAATGGAAAGAAGAATGAGAGCTCCTATGGTTGTTGTATGACTCTCTCAACTTTATATTCTTAGCTCCCAAGTATTGAATCTCCAATTTACCACTACTGATAAGTTACGAGGAAGGGCTTGGGTACTCTACAAGGTTAGAAGAAAAAGGAAATTTTAGGATATGAATTTATGAAGTTCACGTCTTAAGAAATTCTTAAATACCTTCTTCTAAACTTAATCAACTTGACAACTAAAACTACCACAAAAATAACTTAACTCTTAAGAATCTCTTGATCTCGAAAATTCTAAAACAACAATTATAAATTTATAATAAACATAACATATCAACATTAAAACACAACAAAACATATAATTAATTAATAAAGCATATAAATCATACAACATTACATCATTAATTATTTATAAATTGTGTCTTATAATAAAGATTATAAAGAATAATATTTTTATATATAGAAATTAAAATAATAATAAATAATTAAATTTAAAATTTATTTAATATCTTAAAAACTAATTTAACATTTTATTTTTAATTACATAACTGATGATGAGTAGTAGAATCAATATAATTGTAAAGATTTTAATAATAAGTTTGTTTGTTTAAAGAAAAATTACATAAGTGTTTTTTAAATATAATAAGTAATTTTCTATTTTTAAAAAATAGTTCTTATCTACTTATTTCTTAAAAAACATTTATTTAAAAATAATTTTTTTAAAATTTAAATAAACCGACATAATATCATCATTTTGCACTGATACTTTCCCATAAAAATAAACTATTTAGTCAACTTTTATTCATCCAACTTATTAACCCAACCGTCATGACAATATTTATTCATCTTATCTTTATTTGTATCAAAAATACTTTATTATGTATTGTCGTATTATTGAATAAGAGATGTCAGAAGCATGATACCCAACCATACATCACGTAATACTACTCATTCCGCCTTCCCCTATAAATGAAGCTAATCACGCACTTCCCAGTTCCCAACCAATACACGCACACCGCATCGAACTTTCTCTCTGCTTCTAGGAAATGGGTTCGCTTCCCGATTTGGACACTCCCTCTCCCTCTCTCAGCTCCAGGATCTCAACGGTGGTTCCCGCAACCCCTCGAGGTGACCAAAACGGTGCGTATCGACTCAACTACATGGACCTGCTCATGAAGCTCCATTACATTCGACCCGTTTTCCTCTTCAATTCCCAAGCCGTGCAAGGCTTCTCAATTTCCGACTTGAAGAAACCAATGTTCCCGCTACTCGACCTCTATTGCCACGTGTCGGGTCGGATCAGAAGATCCGAATCCGGACACCCCTTTATAAAGTGCAACGACGCTGGTGTTCGCATCGCCGAGTCACACTGCGACAGAACGCTGCAAGAATGGGTCGACGGAAACGGAAACGGAAACGCCGTTGAAGGGCTCGTCCATGATCACGTGCTTGGTCCTGACCTTGCTTTTTCTCCTCTCGTTTTCGTCAAGGTACTTGCTATACCTATTTTCGTGACTTTTGTCATTTGCTCCCCAAAACATTAATGCTGTGCATATCTTTTTTAAGTGCACATTTCATGCGTAAATACCATCAACTATTAGATTCATTTTAGTAGTAAACTTAAAATTAATGTTTCCGAATCTTAAACTTTATTATCATTTTACTATTCATATATAATAATGCTTATTTTATCATTTTAAATTTAATGATCATGCAATATTAATTTGAAAAAACTTTTATATTATTTATAATATTAATAAGAAAGGTATTTTATTTGATATTTTTTTATTCTTAAATATTCTTTACAAGTTATGTCTAAATTTATAATTATATATTTCTAACTAACACTTTTTTATAGTAATTGCATGAAGGTTTTTGTTTTTGTTTTTTTTTTTTTAAGTAATCGTACACCATCACTTTTATATAAAGACGTGATTATTTTTAATTTGAAAAAGTAATTTTTTATTTAAATAAAATTTATAAAAAGCACGAAGTTTTAGGTATAGGAAAAATTAACTAATAAAATCGTTACCGTGTGTTATGTGTAAGAAAAATTAATATCATTAAATAACTTAAAAAACTACAATACATTTTCTTTTAAAATTAAGGAATTAAAAATAAACTTTTTTATAACAAAATATCAAATTGAATCAATTGTATAAAATTCAGTTGAAAATAAAAATTTAGAGGTGTATTGATTTATGATTTTATAGGATCTTAAAATACTTTTTTTTAAGTAAAAAATCCGTTGGTATTTAATTAGGATTTTATGTCACTTAAAAATAATTTAATGGTATTTAATTTGGATTTTCAAGATTTTTTAGAGAGTTTATTAAAATTCATTAGTATTCATTTGAAATTTTTTACAACTTAAAAACAATTCATTGGTATTAAAAAATATAAGGATTTTAAAGAATTGTTGTATTAGATGAATTTTGAAAGACTTTTTGGTAGTATCTATAAATATCAGATTCATAAAACAATTACATCCAAACCCATCAGATTTTGGAGGATTGTTTGAAGTAACTTTTCAAGTGCTTTAAAAATTTTCAAGTGAGTTTTTCATTTGTTTTATGCTTTTGTCTTCTTCATTTTTTGGTCTCATCTAATAATACTGCATTACTATTCATATATAATATGTAAATTGAGTTGGGTCAATAAACTAGTGACCTGCTTACTCCTAGTGATCCATTTATTTTTAATAATTTCTTTGAATAATAAGAAGTAGGGATGACAACGAGGTAAGATAAGTATGAGTTACATTATATTTGTCTCCATTTTTGTATTTTATATATGTTTTTGTCCACATATTTGACGAATATAAAATTTGTGTCTTCATCTCTATCTTTATTGAATATTGGGTATATCTATCTAAAAATTAATTAATTATATATATATATATATATATATATATCAATATAGAGTAGTAATTACAAAATTATATTAGTTAAGATTTATTTAACAAATTTAAAAATATAGTAAAAATTACATAAATGTTAAGTAAATTTTTTAAAAAGTAAATTAAGTTTTTAAAAATTTAAAATAAGTACAAGTACAAGACAAGTAAGTATTTACTTACCCAATATATTTCCCGTACTCGCACTTAGTAAAATCAAATATTATCCATCAACGGGGCAAGTTCAAGTATTACTTATAGATATGAGTTTATTTGTTATTCCTAAGCTTATGTTTGGTGAAAGTGATTTAATAAACGAATTATAATGGATTAGAGTAGATTTGGAAGAAGAAAAAAATATTTGTGTTTGGTAAAGGGTATTTAAGAGAAGTTGTAAGAAATTAAAAATGAGTCCCACATTATTTTTATGTTCTCTCCATTAGAAAAATTCTTATGAAATTTGGAAAATGTGTAAAATTACATCATGTAAAAAAAATTTATTCAAACTATACTATAAAGTGAGAGTAAAATAATGATTATAAATATCAAATTTACTTTATTTTTTACTTTATTTTATTTTATCAAATAATTATAAAATTATTTTTATTTCACTATATTTCTTATTAAATCAATTTTTATTTATTATCTTTTGTTTCCTTCTATTCCTACTCTTCTTTCAAACAAAACATAAGAAAAAGTGAAAGTTAATGAAATGAAAGAAGAAAAAAGTGAAAGAAGGTTGTAATATTGAGTATATTTAAAAAGTAAAATGATATAAATAATTAAATATGACCTCAAAAGTTTCCCCTTAAAGGAAGGGGAAGTGCAACAAATTTAACTTTTATTAACTAAAGTGAAAACTTGGTAATATAAATAAATTTTATTTATTATTTTTAAATAAAATTATTATTTTAAAAAATCACTTCTGCTCTTTTTTTTTTTTGTCTTTTATTAAATAGTAATCATTATTTTTTTTCTCTATTTCTTAATTCTTTACATTTGTTCGTACTTTTTTCTATTTGCTTTATCTCTCATTTTTGTCAAATACAATGTAAGTGTAGTTTTTGAAAATTTTTATTTGAACTTTTATTCTGTAATAAATACTAGGAGTAGAAATACAAGTGTTTTAGAACATCTGTAATGAGGGTTGCTTATAAGCAACTTTCTGTGCTATATTATTACTACATCAATTCTGATCTACTTTATGAGGTTATTTAAATTTTAACAAAATTATTTTTACAAGTAACTTTGCTAAAATTTAAACGACCTATAAAATAAGTGGGAGTTGACGTGTCACAGGGTTACAGATGCTCCAACGTGGCTGTGATATATGGAAAGTCGTGCCAAAAGTGGGCGTTTTACCAAATACGGGTAGAAAACAGGAATTGTGAACCATGATCCAGGCACTGTCATTGAAAATTAATGTATGTTGACTGACTTCCTGTCCGAGATGCCGGACACCGGAAAGTTATTAGTAGTAAAAGTATTTTTAATGTTAATTTAAATATGTTTTAACTTTAAAAATAATATAATTGATCTGTTTTTAATTTGTAATTTTAAAATTGTTTAAAATAATTTGTTAGTACTTGATAGTAATAATTTAACATCCAATATTAATTATATTAGGTGAATGATTATTTTAGGAAAATATATAATATTGTTGATAGAAGAAACATAAATGTAAATAAAAATTAATATAAAATGTCACTTAATATATAAAAATCTATAATATTCCATATATTCACTTAATAAATAAAATGTCGTTAAAACAAAATTTTTACATGATTTATAATTATTTTAATTATACTTAAAGATTTTATGTGATTTATATTATTTTTCTTTTATCATATTTTTTGCATTCGTATCTCATTATATCATATTCTATAGATATTAAGTTGTGTAGTTAAAAGTACAAGTTTTATGATCATGCACCTGTAAGTATAAAAAAAGTTAGTCTTAATTAATAAAAAGTTATTATTTATATATTTTTTAAGATAATTATTATGAAAATCAACTTTTTTTTTGAACAGAAACTTGAAATTAGATGACAATATAAAGTTATTTTACCTCATAGATATATAACATCAACTTTATGACAGACATTTTTTTTATGTTGCAATTGATTTTGTTCTTAAAATACACATTTATACTTAATATATTTCAATTTTTTTAAAATATGGAATCTAAAAATTCTCTTTATTCTTTTGTTAATCATTGGTGTTGGGGCAATAGGATTGAATTTATGAGTTGCTATTGTGTATGCTTGTTTACATTTCAGTTCACTTGGTTCAAATGTGGAGGATTATCCGTGGGATTAAGCTGGGCACACGTTCTTGGAGATGCATTTTCTGCCTTCGACTTCATTTCCAAATGGAGTCAAATGCTAGCAGGTCAAGCCCCACCAAAATCTCTTCACATGCCAAATCTTCCTGAGCCTCAAATCTTACCCAATTCCATTTCTGGGAACCCTCCAATTTCCATTGAAAGAACAAATATTGTTGGGGAGTATTGGCTCGCTACTAATGACAAAGACGTGGCTACTCACTCTTTTCACATCACTTCTGAACAACTTCACTATTTGATAACAGCCACATCTAATCAATACAGTGACACTACCAATAAGGCCAAGAAGACCACTTATTTTGAAATTATTTCGGCCCTGCTTTGGAAGTGTATAGCAAACATAAGGGACCAAAATTTTGGACCAAAGGCTGTGACAATATGCACCAGTAAACCTAATCGCCCAGAAAATGAATCCCCCACCAATGGCTTCATAGTGCTTAGCAAAATTGAAGCCGAATTCTCAATTGGGAAGTGTGAAATATCGGAATTGGTGAAACTGATTGATGAGAACAAGATGGTTGAGAATCATGTGGTGGAAAAATTGGTGGAGGGTGATGAAGGGAAAGAGGATTGGATTTTATAGTTTATGGGGCGAAATTGACGTTTGTGGATTTGGAAGAAGCAAACACCTATCATGGGGTTAAGCTGAATGGACATAAACCAATTATGGCAAACTGTACATTTCATGGGGTGGGTGATCAAGGGGTTGTTTTGGTTCTTCCAGCACCAGAAGATAATGAATTAAATGGTGGTAATGGAAGGATTGTTACGGTTTCTTTGCCAAGGGATGAACTAGATCAGCTGAAAGATAAGCTAGGAGAATGGGGCATACACTAATTGTTCTTGCCGAACACTTGCTTATGTTGTGTTGATTGTTTTTCATTTGTTTTATTGTTAATTGCTATTATAGTTTAGTATGTATGCCAGTAATAATTAAATAATGATTTGGTTATCCACTCTTATATTGGATTATTGGACAAGGAAGCGTTTGTAAAATTTATACCAGTATTGATTATTTTTTAAGCTTTTGATTATATTTTTTAACCTAATCTATAACTTAATTATATTTAATTGGGTTAAGTCTTAAAATAAATCAAATACAAATTTCAAACGTGTAGTTCAGCGATAAGGGTTGATTTATATTTAAATAAGGTCAGGGGTTCGAATCCTACTATATATATGTAGTCGCGTTAAATCTTGGAGCTAATTATCCCACCCTTTGAAGTAGAGATTAGTCATTACTATCGGTGATTTCCAAGAAAAAAAAAATCAAATACAATTGATGGGATATGTCAATACCTATTATTTTTATAGGAGGATATACCCTTCTGAAACTTATAAAAAAAAAAGAAAACACATTAAACCAGGCCCCACGCGTATGACACCTATTGACTTTTATTTTATTCATTTCAAACGCTAATTAAGCATATAATTAAATGATGTACGTAGACGTTTGGAAAATAGGTGTGCTTAAAAGCATGAATGAAACTGTGGGCAAATTCATGACCTTATTTGACAGGAACTAAATAAATGCTGGTCCTATAAAATTCGTGACCTGTTTGACTTCCAATTAATATTTTCGGTGAAAGTTAAGAAACAGATCAGAGTTGCTTTTTTTAAAATAAAAAATAAAATTCAAATTGCTTTTTTGAAAAATTAGAAAATGATTTTCCCAAAACATAATATAGGCAAAAAAATCGTTTTTCATATTTAATTTATTAAAAAGTGTTTTTTAAATAAATTTAAACAAAGAAGTTCTTAAACCTATTAAGAAGTGAAACATAAAAAAATTTAAGAAATGTGATTATGTGATCTATTTAAATGATTAAAAGGATGAGATTATTGAGTGTAACCCGATATTTTTCCTGACTACTTTTTCAAATTCGGAATAAAAGCAACAAATATATGTTATCGGTATGAAATATAAGTAAATTTTAATTAAATTTATTTTATTTAATATCACAATCTCTAAAATATCTATTTATTAATTGATCGTATATTTTTAATTAAAGTTATTTTATTCTTAATATCAAGTTTTAAAAAAAGGATAGTGTGGAAAATTAGATTATTTTTTAAGTGAGATTAGTGTAATTAAATGATGTTAACTTACTTTCTTACTTATATTCAAATCTTAAGGAAGTATTATTAAATGATAATGTTTTTCGTTATTTTTGTTTAAAAAAGTGTATTTACAATTTTTCTTAGTATATTATATGTTTTAATCTATCATTTTATTTTTAAATTAAAATTTGATATTTTAAAAAATTATTAATATTTAGAAATAATTTTATATTACAATTATAAATTATTTTTATAAATATAAATATAATTTACATGATAAAATATTTATTTATTATAATTATAAAATGGCTGATCTATTTATAAGTGTTTGCTTATTATAAATGTTTCATTATGTAAAATAAAAATTATCTTATATATTATACATATTAAAATACAGTTTTATTAATCTAAACATTTTGGTCGGAAAGAGAAAACACTGCTGATTTTTCATTTTTGTGTAGTTAGAAAAAAAATCAAGTTATCCTTGTGTTTATGAACTTTTTATTAGAATATTTATATTTAATTTTTTAAATTTTTTATATTTTCTATGCAACTAAATAAGAGTAAAGAAACCAAAAAGGTCATACCAATAACATGATTTTAAAAAAATAATAATAATAAAAGATTATCGTTATTTTCTTATATTTGTTTTTTCTCTGCTATCATACAACTTAAAAATTTATTTCATTCTGTACTTAATTTCTATGGTTTCCCGTTGCTTTGTTTCGTAAATCAATCGTAGCTGAATTAATGTGTTTAATAAGGTCTGAAAATTGTGCGGAAAAATTTTGCAGTTAGTAATATTTAAGTAGAAACTAACTCAACTTTAGCTGTTAAGTTTTTCAATGATGATTATTTACATTATAACTTGTTATTTTAAAGTGAATAAAGTAGTAAGTATGATTAACAATGACTAGAATGTGTCTTATCAAAAGGCAAATTAAGTAGCAAATTATCTAACAAAAGATGACTGATTTATGTCAAAAGTGATGCATATCTTTCATAATCTTACTCCATGGATTACGTTATTTTTACTTGTTGATAATTCATTCGTTTCTTTTTTATTTTTTTATTTATTTTTTTATAAGGTTTTTAGTTTGAGCTTTTAGTTTCCATTATACTAAAAAAAAAATTGTTCGACACATAAAGTTGTTTGATAAAAAATATTATTCTCTAAAAGATATAATAAAATTAATTTTTTAGTTAGTAATATTTTTTTAAAGATGTTACTCAATCAATATTTGAGTTTATAAGTATAAGGTGATTATGGATATACTTAATAATAAAAAATAGTTGGGTTAGATTTGAAAAAAAATCACTTTTGCATGTTTGGTAAGGTATAGAAAAAATAATGAAAAAAGAAAAAAAAAAACAAACAAACAAACTTAAAGAAAAATAAATTTATTTATATATATATATATATATATATATTTCTATTTTAAAAAATTTTGGTCTTTTTATATGCATAAAAAAATTTCCTTAACTCAAAAAAGTTGGATTCTCACTCCTTATAGGAATTTTTTGTAAGAAAGTAAAATAAAAATGGTTTTCAAAAGACTATATTCTTGAGATTTTTTTTTCAAATAGCTACCAAACATGAGAAATCAAAATTCTTAATTTAAGATCTCAGAAAAGTAAAATCCTTTTTGTGTATCAAACTCTCCCTAACTTCCAACTTAAAATGATTATCATTTTAACGATCAAAATAGGCCAATGACTTTGTCTAGGTTTCATAACTTAGTCAGACTTATTTATTAAAAATGTTATATTTAAAATTTTAGAAAAAATTAACTAAAAAGGCTAGATCTAAAAAATCTTAGTAGATCCACTTGTTTAAAATATAAATTAATATCTATATATTGTAATATATTAATTAATAATAAATATTTATATTTAATTACTATTGTAGACTTGTTTTTAGACATTGTATAAAATAAACTATATAAATTAACTTTTAGGTCAGACTAAGCTTTTAAGTATGCCAAAATAAGTATTATGAAAATGCCTTTAACAAGTAAATAGGCTAAACTTAGATTAATAAATTTATTAAAAGTTAAATTTGTGACATCCTGATATCCAAAATGTTTTGGTATGACAATATAACGATGAAACTCTAACATTTAATAATAAAATATTTATTGGAAAAAATAATATAAATAGGAATAAAAATGTTTTAACAAGCTCACTAAAGGAATATAAAAAAGTTAAGTATGATAAAAGAAACTTCAACTCTTAAATAAGGTTAAAAAAATAAAATAGTCCTATGAATTCCAATATATCTTATAAAAAAAATCGACTTGTACTCATTTACCTAATCAAAACACCTATATCAATCAAAATCAAAGCATAAGCTTCATCTAGCAATGTTACAAAAGCAGTCTCATCAAAACTAAATTGAAGTCTAAGCTTTGTCTTTTGCATACTCAAACTCATTTACCTGATCTATACTTGAAAGTGGTGTTCAACCGAAGCAAAGAAAAACAATACAACAAAAAGGAGTGAGAATATATCTGACACATGTATAGACACTTACAAAGAAATTAGATAGCATCTAACAAAAAAAAACAACTTAAGCTCATACACCTTAACATCATAAGTAACATGGAACTCACAAGGACTCGTGCTCTTGGTTATATATGCATGTGGTATCAATCACATTTCGCACAAAGTGCACACATATAAAGTAGTATGGGACTACATGGACAAGAAAAATGGTCATCACATAATGAGAAACTAACAGGTGGTCCTCTTTCATTAGAACAAAATTTATCAAGAGTTAGCTAGGGTACCATAGTTGCACATGGTCACTTCCCGTTCCACATTAGAGGTTGCCAAAGTAACCCTCTCGAGATCAAGGTAGAAGACCTTGAACATCCTCCAATCACACCTACCTCCAAGCAAAATATGCATGAATGCATGGAGTCCAAACACATCACAAAATACACTAGAAATGAATAATGCACCTTACACATATATCATGTTGTTAGGTCAAGCCTAAACTTCCACCCTACTAGAATTTAGTGTTTAGACCCCACAAATAACCACAATAACTTAGATTTCACACTTCTAAGCCTTTGCTTAGTGTTGACTCCAATCATGCATAAGTATATCATATCACGTACATCACATGCAAGCACAATGTCTCAAACACAATACCTCACAAACATAGTTTCACACCTTCATCATAATTCACTTATAACTCATTCATAGATGTCCTGCTTCACACTTTTCTTTCTTAATTATTAATATAAGTATCTCAAATCATTCCTGTGAGACCCTTTCCGTTCTCATTTTTTTCCCTCCCTCTCAAAAACCTAAACTTCCTTCTCACTCTCTTATTCCCATTCACTTGCCCTGTTCAGGTTCTAGTGGTGTTGTAGGTGCTAACTAGAAGCTAGCTAGGTGCACCGGGTGGATTTCTCTCTTCTCCGTTTATTTTCTTCTTCTCCTTCTCTTCCCGGAGCTCAGATTTCTTCTCCTCCGAGGTAAGGGAAGTTATATTCGTGTTGATTGTTTGGAAGTGAGTTAGAAACTCACATGTTGTTTGATTCTTGGAGAATGATGGTCTAATTTGATGAAAATTTCATTTTCGGGGTTTCGGGAAAAATGGTGAAAATTTGGGATTTTGAGTGTTTAATGGTTGCATGTTGAAAAAGTGATGATTTTTGAGTTGTTTGTTGAGAATGTGGTTCATTTGATGGATTGCATGTGCTTGAGTTGTTGATTTTGCAGGTTTTGAGTGAAAATTCTTGAAGTTTCAGGGTTGTTGTTTGAAATTACGCCGGGTGTAGTTATTGGCATCGGACGTGTGTCCATTAGAGAGTTCCATTGTTCAAGCACGCTGGGCGCAAGGTTGGTTGTACCGGGTGAGCTTGGGAATGGAAGTCCCCGGATGGCTCACGTCGGGCGTGGGAGAACT